TACAATTTTTTTTCTTTTTTTAATGCTTTTTTGTTCCCTTACTTTTTAATTATGTAGTTATTTTTCTTTTACTAATATCTGATTTGTAACCCTTTTCATCCCCTCCGGGGGATGTTGTGTGTTAATAAATAAATAAATAAATAAATAAATAAATAAATAAATAAATAAATAAATAAATAAATAAATAAATAAATAAATAAATAAACAAATAAATAAATAAATAAATAAATAAATAAATAAATAAATAAATAAATAAATAAATAAATAAATAAATAAATAAATAAATAAATAAATAAATAAATAAATAAATAAATAAAAAATAACGATTGATTGATATTATAGTTGGTGAGCAAATATTATTATGTGGAAAGATCTGTTTGACACTTTCCTCCTAAACCCCCATTGTTATCTGAGCGCATACCTTAGACAGAGAGAGGGACAGGTCTTGGGGACAGGTACGCGCGAGCACCAAACATGCATTATTTTTTTAACACGCCCTCTCCTGGCCCTACTCGTATAATCTTTCGTTAGTTTTAAAGTAGGTCGACAGTGGAACGAATTATGAAAACGTCATTCAAACAGCCTTGGGTTTGTTAAACAGACTTATAACAGATTTGCACATTCGTGTATTAGCCAGTCGCCTTTCGTTTTCACTTGTTTTTCCTTTCATCTGCTTTACATTCGTGGTTTTCCGGCGCTTTGTGGATGACATGCGCAAACTGATTTCCACGACTGGGTCAAGGGTCAAGAAGCCGAGTTATCGTGAGTTATCGTGGCGTAGAGACGGAAGGACTTGTTTTCAGTTGGAATTCTTAGAGTTTATGGTGTTGCTGAGTGCGGAAAGTCACGATGATGGACAGATGTGAGTACATATTTCGTAAATTTCCATTCTACTGCCTAACATTCACACAAATTTATACAGATGCAGAGGCTGACAGTGACAGAAACGATACCCAAGTAAACTGGTGGTCGCATGCGTCAAGTCATCGTCAGCGTCGGTGATCATTGCCAATGTCAGTTTGTTCTTTTGAGGAGAAATGTTTTTATCTTCTGCTACTGACAGACTTCCTTCTTCAGTTCTTTCCGGCAGTCGTCGTTCTGATTAGTCACAGTAGGAACGATACACAGTAATACATGTTTTATCGTAACTCAATTTATTTGCGTTTGTTCGATACAAACATTGTCATTGTGATTCTTATTACAAATCGCGGATATCGATATTGACCGTCGATAGCGGTCTTCAAACACATCGGTAGTTTTGTTTAATCATTTCGTATGTCATATAGTATCACTTATATTATCGATATTTATTGTTGAACGAGAATGTGATGTAACTCAAATGATCTGCTTACGTAAATTATCTCCGCAACTGACTGCCAAGACGCAGGTCAAGTATCGGGCTAGCTTTGATTGCTCTTAATTTAATTCCGTAGTGAAGTGCACCCAAGCTAAGATGTTAAAGATGACTATAAAGTGTTGACATCTTGTCTATAAACCATGACAAAGCAGTGTGAGATTAAAAAAAATACATTTTACCATTACCTGTGCAGACACAGTCCCTCAACAAACGGTTGAGAAACGAAAATCTTCCCTATGTACTATGCTGGTTAGGCTTCCGCTGGATGTTTATTCGATAAGAGGGACTGTGGTGTGGAAAAGGTTCTTTATGTAATGTTGAATGATCAGTACTTATCACCAAAATATGAATTAGGAATCTGCCCACATTTCAAAGATACAGAGTACGGTAAGATGACATATGCTGATCTGATATTTATCATTCAACAGTGGATAAAAAAAAATACAGTAACTGATCACAATAATCGACTATAATTCTAGTATACACCCTGCCAAAAAATGTGTTCATTTCTGAAAGGTTCATGTCCTGGGGTCTGATTGCAAGTTATTTGGTTATTGGTGTTGATTTGTCTTTTGTTTTGTTTGTTTTATATCAATCCTGGAAATGTTGTGAATCTTCGTTTGTCTTTTGTTTTCTATTGAATTGCTTCCGGAGTGGAAACAGACATAAACCAAAAACATACATCTATTATATACTGGATCATTTTGTTTTCATGCACCATTAATAGAACAAATATGGTATTTAATTTTCAACTCTTTCATCGCTAACTATACACATTGTAATTGTGTCACCAAGCATCATACATACTTCTGCACCAGATGTTAAAAACAAATTGCAACAGTTGAAAAATTCCCAGTCAGAATGATTGATTGTTTTTGTCTTCAATGTTTGCATGCATATTAAAAAAACAACAATATTTGCTTTCCAATCAATTTCATAAAACTAAAAAAAGAATGTAATCTTATTATTATTAGGTTATCTGTTTTGTTTGCATATATTAACTGTATTAAACAAAATATTTCATATTTTATTAGAATTGGTAATTTTCTATATTCCATATTTTATTAGAAATGGCTAATTTTCTCAGAAACTATAAATGAGATTTAAAATAATTGTTGATAAATTGTTTTATTACATAAAGGTAAGTATTATATATTAATATTAAAACTCCTTTATTTTCACTAGGGATTAAATTCTGATGAAATTCACCCGTTTCTAAAATTGAGAAATTTTATTTCAGTTAATATTGTGCTAAAATTATGTAAACAGTCACTCTGATGAAAATTTGACCAGCACATTCAATTCATCAAATCTTGAAAATTCATAGCAAGGAGATTTTAACGGTTAATAGTATTTTTCTTTCAGACGTTCAATCACTTTGCTAAATTCTGAAATTATACATTAGGATAAGTGACATTTTTTGCCGTAAAATTAAAATAATTCTGAACACAGTGACCCTGTATATTTTACTTTCTTTTCTATGATCCCTATGGTACTGAGTGTCATTAACGAGCAAATTGAAAAATGTACCGATATGTGTTATTTTGAATCTGGCTTGACTCTGAACTAAGTAACATTGTAACATTTAATTGAACCTGAGGTAAATTTTAAATTAACAGTCCATTAATTTCAAAATCTTGATTCTGCTTTTGGGGGACTCAAAGGTATTTGACATTCTTACATTAATGTTTCACAATTTTTATGAACATGGTATTCTGCAAAATGACAAACTTGCTCATAAATTTGCTGGCAAATTGTTTTGACTAAACAGTTGGCACATTCTAGATTTGACAGTGCCAGTTGATTTCCGTGCATTCTGCATGAGATTCACCATATCAAAAATGTTCAGAACGGATTGGAACAAATCATCATCATCGTTATCGTCGTCATCGTTGTCGTCGTCATCGTTGTCGTCGTCATCATTATCAACATCAAGTTGGGTGATCTTAGTTGCTTTCAATACCCCTATCTTCAGTAACTTTGGTACAAATACAGACAAGTTTGCATTAAAATGAGTAAAATTGAATCATTTGTTGAAATTCTGCAATGTGAAAGCATCGTCTTTTTTTGCTGCAATATAGATTTGTCCTGAGTGGGCGTAACCATAGTCACTGCCAGTAAATTTGAAAAGCCAATTGATTAGTTAAAACACGAGGTATCAGCGAAATGCAAAATCAGTTCAGGGTTGAAATCGAAAATTAAAGTTGCCTGTCAACTGGACACGTTGGTGAATAAAAGTACCTGTCCCAATTGATGATGTGCCCCATTTAGTCAGTTATTAAACTTCAATATCTGTATTCACCTGTTCACAGGGACAGGCAATTTCCTCATTGTCATGTCCCACCTAAAATCTGCTTGTCTGGGACAGATAGACATGCCTTAATTTTGAACTTTGCAGTTAGCCATGTTGCTATACTATCGCTACTTCCTGAAATCTTCTTTTAAATCGGTATTTTTGGAAATACAATTGATTGGTTTAAAGGGATTTTGTTTTATAATCTAATACACATTATCCCCTTCTGCACTCCAGTCAACTTTAGTGAACTTTGCACCAAAATACACTCACTTAATTTGTTTCCTATTTTTAGTTATATTACCGATAGTTTGAAGGTAAGACATCAAAGAAATCATTGAAAAAAATTTTTTTTTTTTTTTTTTTTTTTTTTTTTAATTTGCTTTAATGATGGGAACTGAATTTTTTTTTTTCACAGCAATGTATATCATGCGATTTTTTATAAAAAAAAAGCCAGGGTTCTCTCCACAGCATTATTGTGTAGGAGTCCGCTACTCTATAAATTTTCATCATCGATAATAAGCGCATTAAAATAACAATAAGTACAATAAAGTTAGTTGCATATTCTATTGTTATGTTAATTTTGCCACAGGTGCTTGGCTAATTTCCTGGGTGGAATACTGGAAGTAATTATAAACCAAAAATTAATAAAATATGACTTATTATGAGCATTTATGTAAAGCTCGTGCTCTACTTAATACAGCAAATATGTGTTCATGAAGAATACAGACATATAACTGAAACCCGGTAATTAAATAACTTTGTAATCAATGTTTCTATTCACCTTAGGCATTTTTTTGCGTTTTGAATGCATCATGGAAAAAAAATATCAAGTGGTTTGTATTGAATATTTTTAGTGTGAATATAAATCTATAATCCAATCTTCATGGTAGATTTATTTATAGGATTAAAGTACTGTAAAACTATTTATTTTCACTGGTTTTTAATTTCGCTATTTTTATCTTTTAAGTAATTTCGCTGGGTTTTAAATTCATAAAATTTGCTGGGAAAAAAATTTGCTATTGTTGTTTCACATGTTCAACTGGATTTTATTTCAGCAAATTTTAATTATTAGTGAAAATAGCAAAATTAAAATTCAGTTTAGTTTATGTTAATAGGGAAACCATGATTGACCTTGCCCTCACATTAAGGGTTCACAATTGTCACAAACATTTGTGTTTTTTTGTTTGTTTACAAACTCTTTACACTGAACGTCAGTCGACAGCAGTATACATTTGAAAAAGGACACATTGAAATGGTTTTACTAGTAAGAGTATTATTACTGTCAGCACATGCAATTTTGAAATTGAAATGGTATTAACCTTCTCAATGTCAAAGTCAACTTTTGATCAAGACCTTAGCCAATATAAAATTGTATCCATTTCGTCCAAAATTATCAAAATAAATTGAGAAAATACATAAACAAAACAAAAGAAATTATGGCGCTCAAACTGTACTCTCACATGCTGTTGACTGTTCAGCTGATCTTAGATGGAATTTTATGAATACCGGGGGGGGGGGGGGGGGTGTATTTAAAATCAATTCAATGTATAATCAAAAGCAACTAAAAAGTTAAGAAAGAAAATGAAAATCTTTTGTTACATTTGTTCTTTGAAATAAAAAAAAGAAGTCTTTGGGAGAGGCAGAATGTAGATTAAAGGCAGAATTTTGTTACATTTTACACAATTTTTTGTAATTGTTTTTAATTTTCCTCATTAATTTTGAACCAAATCCTTTTCATTGGGTAGAAGTTTTGATTAAAATTAAGAAAAAAAAAAAAAATTTTACAAATTTATTTTTATAATAGTGTTTAGGTCACAGAAGTTTACTTTGGTGTTCATACGATCAAAGTCCCAATAGTGATTTTCATTTTGGTTTCACATATTTAATTAATTAATTAACATATTTAACATATTTCACACTGTGTGTTGACAGCTTCCCGTTGACTTCAAGTACCTTTATTGAATTGATTAAGTACTTCAAATAAAAGCTTTAAAAAATTAAATATATAACCAAGCAGTATTTAATATTAATAATAAAAATACTGTGAATATTTTTATGTTAAATAGATTTAATGTTTGGTAATAACACTAATGAGTAGACGTATTTATTCATGTCACTAATTTGTCGGAGATTATATGTCAACCATAAAACGAGAAGTTGTGATTATTTTCATTGATTACCCTTTTTCAGAAATTATAGCAAAAATAAA